GGGATTTCATTAACTAGGCATGATTGGTAAATCATTAGCCATCTGTGACTAACTCAATCTTTAGCCCCTCTTCTCTCCCTGTAGATGGGGAGGGTGTGGTTTGGGGAGGTGAAGGGAACAAAATGTTCCAACCCCCTAATCCTGCCAAGTAGGGCTTTCTTTCTAGCAGCCAACCCCCATCTTGAAGCTGCCTAGGGGCCCCCAGTCACTAGCCACCTCATTAGCATACAAAGGTCACTCTTATCTCTCTAGAAATGTCAAGGGTTTGGAGCTGAGTGCTGGGAATTACAACAGGGAACAAAGACAAAATATTTATTTTTTATTATATCATAGTCAGGAACACAGCTGGGTGTGGCTGTGAAAAGGCAGAAATCCCTGCACTTGAACTGATACTATAGTAAGGGCGACACTTAGGTTACATGAATAATAATTCATGTAATCTAGTATTTTAGATTTTTTTTTTTGTAAGAAACAATATATTTTATTTTTCTGACACCACAGCTCTGGTGAGAGGTTTTGTACCAAATTTAATGGAGGTTACACAGAAGGTTTTATGCATGGGAGGAGGAGGAAAGGGAAGTTTTTTATTCTAATAATTTAGTGTTTTAGATTTTCAGGGCTATGGGGAAAAATGTGCATGGGAAAGGACATCAGAAATGCTGGGGCGCTGGGGCATGGTGGGAGGGGCTGGAGGCTCATTTGAGACCAGGAATTATGAGGAGATCCCCATCTGTACCAAAAAAAAAAAATAGAAAAATCAGCCAGACATGGTGGTGGCACCTGTAGTCCCTAACACTGGAAATGCTGAGGCAGAAGGATGACTTGAGCCCAGGAGTATGAGGCTGCAGTGAACTATGATAATGTCACTGTATCCTAGACTGGGCAATAGAGTGAGAACCTGTCTCAAAAAAATAAACAAACAAAAAGAGATGATGCTGTAGGAGGGGACTGCAGTGCGAAGTGGAAAGAGAGTAATGAGAAGTTGCAATATGACTGACTGCCTGGCATAAGTCCAGGCAGAAGGAACAGGCAGTGCAAAGGCCCTGAGGCAGGGGCCTGGCCTGGTGTGCTCAAATGGCAACCAATACATATGCCAGTGTGGTTGGAGGGGAGTAAGTTCTGGAAGGCGTGTGGGGAGACAATGGGTCAGATTATTCAGTGTCTTGTGGGCTGCAAGAAGGACTTTGGCATTTACTCCAAGGCAGGAGCCAGGGATCGGTCTGAGCAGAGGAATGTGTTCACAGGTGCCCTCTGGCTGCCGTGGAGGAATGATTTTTTTTTTAAGGCCCTGAGGCAGGGGCCTGGCCTGGTGTGCTCAAATGGCAACCAATACATATGCCAGTGTGGTTGGAGGGGAGTAAGTTCTGGAAGGCGTGTGGGGAGACAATGGGTCAGATTATTCAGTGTCTTGTGGGCTGCAAGAAGGACTTTGGCATTTACTCCAAGGCAGGAGCCAGGGATCGGTCTGAGCAGAGGAATGTGTTCACAGGTGCCCTCTGGCTGCCGTGGAGGAATGATTTTCTTTCTAGGATTAGCTGTGGAAATTTTGTCGTCCCTGCCTCCCACGCACTGAAGCTTTCCAGGGCCAATCTGGTGACCAATGCGCCTAGCTAGATGCCGCCCTAGGCCTGGGGAAGACTGTGCTGCCTCATGAATGGCTTGGACTCACCATCTACTTAGCTGTGAACCAACTCCACCCTTTCCTGGCAACCACATGTCATCAAGGGAAACAAAAGAACAAACACATTTGGGCATAACAGATTTAATTTCATTTTCTTAAGGAGAAAAGTGCATGTTCTTCCACCCTGGACAGCAAGGAATCACTTACACAGAAGAACCACATTCAGGATATAAATGGCCTGCTGAGAGCTCCTTCAGTAGTGCATTTCACAATGCCAGGGGGAGCCAGTAGCAGAATTATCGCTTCAACCCTGAGACCAAATTTCACCTGTTACTGTTTCTCTAGGTGGAGTAGGAGAAAGATGCAAAAACATGATCCCATGTTCCTAAGAGAAGTCCTCCCCCATGCAAAAAAAAAAAAAAAAAAAAAACGCGAGAAGAAACAAGCAGAACCCCTAAGCCATCATGGTCCTGCCAATTTCTCACCAAAACTGCTCATGAAAAGACAAGATGCTAAAAGTGAACGTTACTCATGAAAAGACAAGATGCTAAAAGTGAACGTTAAGAAGGAAGGTACTGGCTTGGCGCCTGTGGCTCAAGTGGCTAGGGCGCCAGCCACATACACCTAAGGTGGCAGGTTCGAATCCAGCCTGGGCGCGCCCAACAACGACAGCTGCAACCAAAAAATAGCCAGGCACCTGTGGTCCCAGCTATTTGGGAGGCTATTTGGGAGGCGGAGGCAGGAGACTCGCTTGAGCCCAGGAGTTGGAGGTTGCTGTGAGCTGTGATGCCACAGCACTTTACCCAGGGGGACAGCTTGAGGCTCTGTGTAAAAAAAAAAAAGAAGGAAGGTAGTGGTAGGTCACTGCTTCCCACCTCAGTCCCCTGGAGGTGGGAAGTGGTTTTCCCTTACAGCCCCTCAAACTGATATGTAGCACATCAGTTTCCACTGCCTAGAGGCCATCCCAAATTTAAACCTCTCCTCCAAAATCATAAAATTTAAAACTTGTCTAGAAACTTCAACAAAAAAATGTTTTCTCCCACCTTATTCCCATTCTTGAGAGAATGACAAGGCAGCTCTCCTGGTTGCTACTTGCAGCTGAACTGTTAAAAGATCTTATGTAATTATAAAACATAGGCCATGTCAGGCACAGGATGCAGTCAAAGCTGGTTTTTTGTTTGTTTGTTTTTTAATCACAAAGGCATTATAATTCTGTTCAGCCCTATTCACAGCAATCTGATCCACCACCACATTTTTGGCAGCAAGTTAGGGACAATGAAGTGGCCAACACCACCTTGACAGGCCATATTGTACCTTAAGATGTCTTTTTATATGTATATATGATTTTACTTTAGTGTTAAAGCAACTGAACAATTGGACTCAGATACCCTTGCTGTGTTTATAAATTTCTCCACTCCACCTTGGTCACTGAAATTGTTGGTATACAAATACATGCTCACTTTGAAATACTAAGGGCAGCCTCTGATATGGAGTAAATGAGCCTCCCTCAAATAAATTTGAACTTGAATCTGGCCTTCTCCTTCACACACACCTCCAGAAGGAGGCTGAGGTTATTAAGGCTGAAGGAAGTCATTTCAGCTGCTGAGGTTGGAGGAATGGAAGCAACCCTGATCCACAGTAAGGAAATCAGGGCACAAACCCTCAGCTCAGCCACCATCACAGTGTTAGTCATGGTAGGGTCTCAGGTGGCATTCAGGGGAAGAGAGAAATGCAAACCATGGAGTTTGGCCTGTGATGGGTAGGAGGGCTGCTGAGCTGGGGGATCAAGGCAAATAACCTCTGATGAGAAGCCCTGGGCAGCAGGGGACCCAGCTTCATCAAGTCCCGGATCAGTATCACAGCCCATCCCCCATCAACATGAGGACCTGAGACTCCCCAGCTGTGCATGAAATACAAGGCAGCTGGAGGTTAGGCAGCTCTACCTCCTGGCCCAACCCCAAGCACTCCCTAAAAGTGACTCTTCAACTAGTAAAAAAGGTCACACATCACAGGGCCTTGACAATGACATAACATGGTTTGGGAAATGGAGATTAGGTCTTCAAGGGTCCTCAAGTCAGAAAAGCCCCATTCTTTCCTCCGTGCAGGCTATGGGTGGAAACATTACTCAATTTCCCTTTCTAGGAGGATGTATGATTTGGAAAGAACTTGCTTAAAACACAACCAGCCAAACAGGGCCTGGGAGAGAGGACTCTGGGAGGGAGGGCCAGTCTCCCGGCTCTGAGGTTAACTCCTGGCAGAAAGCCCTAAGCATGAATGCTAGGAGTTAGGAATCTTTCTGCCCAGGCTTGACTGGCTCACAGTTCTGGAATTCGATTCAGGATCAGAAATGCAGTGTATATAGCAAAACAGTGGCAGGGACGTGGGTAATGTGGAGTCTGGGACACTTAGAAGGCACTTCTGTAGTCCCTGAAGCGGGGTAGGGTGTTCTGACTCCCTTTGTCCCTTCTACAATGGGAAAAGAGGTTTTAATACTACTTTCAGAAGGAGAGGGTCAGGGACTTTCAGAAGGAGTGGGGGGATGGGGCAGGGTTATGCCATGCTGCCTTGGATTCTAGAATGTTCATGGGGGCAGGTTCAGGAATCTGTTTTGTTTTGTTGAGACAAGAGTCTTACTATGTCACCCTCAGTTGAGTGCCGTAGCATTACAGCTCACAGCAACTTCCAACTCTTGGGCTTAAGTGATTCTCTTGCCTCAGCCTCCCAAGTAGCTGGGACTACAGGCGCCCGCCACAGCGCCCA